TCAAACTTCGGATCCGTTTTTTGGGGTTACAATCAGAAGGACTAGGCTACTTTGAGGTATGTAACACATCCATGCACGCTGTGACATAAACATAAAATCGCTTCCCAGGTACCTGCGTGCCCACCTGTGACGGGCCACCGCCTGTCATGTCTGTGCGCTAAAAGCTTCATCGCACAGTGCAAAGCTGTGCCTGAGACAGAATTATTACTACTTTTACTACTATTTCTGTTGTTAGTATTGTTATTACTATTAGTATGTAGCCAGAATGTGGTAGTCTCCCAAGACAAGGGAACCCCAATATAGACCCCAAAATACTAGAATCCTTAGTATGGAGACCCCCAATAAGGTACCTCTAATTTTGGGAAACTTCCATGTTTCACCAGCTGGTACCATGAAGTTCTTTGAAGATCTTTGTCTGTTGACAGAAGCTCCTGAAACCGAGTTGCACTTTGGCAGGGCCGATCTTTGAGAAAAGGTTCTCAACCTCCTCCTGAGGTCATCCGGCCAAGCCAAATCCGTACGTCGGCAGAGGATCTCAAGATGCTGGCGCAAACTCGAACAGACTAAATGCCGGCAAGCTGCAGTGCTTGCCTCCTGAGAATGGTTCGTGGTTTGTGCTGCTGCCCAACAAGAAATAACAAAGCTCCGCCTTAAACGGATGCGCGCGCTAGTGTGATGCGTGGTTGAGGCTTCTTTCAAACAAGAACAGGCACGCCCGGCTAAGGACCCCAAGGTGGTTAGCTGAACAGGCGCGTCTCAGCACCCCCAAAGCCACAAAATAAGTCAGAACAAGGTAAGCGAGCGACAGGATGCACGTTCATCACCAAGACCACTGAAGCATCAATGGTGTCTTCCAGAGACTGCTGAGGCATCGCGGACTTTTCGCCTCGTCTCGGAAATTGATCTGGTCTAGACTGGCGGTCTGACACGTGATCTACATTTAACCCGACTTGTGCAGCTGTGCGTCGAGGCTTCAGTTGACATTCCAGGTTATGCTCACCAAGGCATTCGCCTCGTAAGCCTGCAGCCGCCTTCCTGGGGTGTCAGCACCAACAGCATCACCCACTTCATGGCTCCTGTTGACTATGCTTGTGTCTGGTCATCCTTCAATGCGAGCTGTAGCTTCATTGCAAGTACCATCCAGTACCCCTGCTGCTGCAGCTGCACCTGCCATCGCGCCAGCCGCCCGCTGAATCCCCGCATTCCCCCCTGTCTCACCACTTCCTTGCTCGAGATTGTCCCTTCCGATGACTAATAGACTATAATATACTATACTATAATGTGCTATACTTTCCTGTACTATACTGTACTAAGCCCAAACCCCAAAACCTATAATATCAGACCACAGTTGGGCCAAGAAGCTCCGCGGATGAAGCAGATTCAAACTTCACGATAACTTTGCCTGACTTCATGGGCCTCGGACAGCGAGTAGCGTTCAGGGTTTTGGGTTTAGGCTTTAGGCTTTGGGGTTTAGGGTTTAAGGTTTGAGGTACACGTATCCAAAGCCATAATAGTCATGTTCCCTGGCTGAAGCTGCTTGCCATCATTCCAGTCTATTAAGATAGGAGTAAGAAGCCATGGGGCTTGAAATATGTAAAAACAACAGTAATAATAGTAATAACAATAAGTATATTAGTTATAAAGATAATAGTAAGCAGAGAAATAGTAATAATTCCAGTAACAATGGTAACCCTAAACCCTAAACCCCAAACCCTAAACCCTGGTAGTAGTAATACTAATACTTAGGATAGCTTCCAGCTATCAGCGTGGGAGTGACCGAGGCTCTGGCTTCACGTTCTCCACGGTCCCAAATTCTCGAAGCAGCTCCTGTTAAGTTCCTAGTCCCCCTTAGGTAGATACTTAAGTAGATAAAATATGGGGTATGTTAGTGGGGTTATATAGGGATGATGGAAAAGAAAATGGAAACTACTATATTACAATGGGGTACATATTGGGGTTATAGTCCCCCTTTAGTAGATAGAACATGGGGTATATGGGGATCTTATGAGGGTTTAAGGTTAGAATAAGGGTATACGGGGATTCTATTAAAATATACCCAAAGCCATATTCCATCTACTCCAGGGGCACTATAGGCTAGTGACACTGCAACAGATTCGCTGCTCCTCTCCCAGGTGGCTGTGTAATATACTATAAAATACAAGTTTAGGGTTTAGGGTTTGGGGTTTAGGGTTTAGGGTTACCATAATGTACTATAATATACTATAATAGAGTAACAAAGCATTCCCATGGACACGCAGATAGCTGGTCTTTGCCAGCTTCTACAGGGCAGGAGCCGTATGGAATAGGATAATGGAAAAGAAAGTGGAAACTACTACAGTATTGGGGTTTTATAGGGGTTATATAGGGATAATGGAAAAGAAAATGCAAACTGCTATAGTATCGGGGTTATATAGGGATAATGGAATGTATAGGGTAACATACAGTAGGGTTTGTATAGGGATAATGGAAAAGAAAACGGAAACTACCATATCATAATGCGGCATATACTGGAGTTAGTAAGGAATAAGGGAATGCAACTGTTCTTATCCCTATATCATCCAGCTTTCAAAAGCAGGTCTGAATCTTCATGATGCGCAGAAAGCAGTTGCAACCCTCGAGGCAAGTAGCCATGCCAAGCCACGCATTCGTTTCTATTCAACGGCTTTGTCTTTAAGCACGCCTTTTGACAAGGCATGACAACACATCGCCCCCAACCTTGGCTTTCCGTAAGTCCAGTACTGTAGCCTGAAGGAGATCCCATGAACGACACTTCCTTTGGGGCCTTGTCTTACGGGTCTAGCCTGAGTGCAGAGGCACACGAAGCGCTTCCTGAACCTCGTCTGGCGACATCTTTGCTGGGAGTCCGGTGACCTTTGCCCCAGGGGTTCTTTGCAGCTGCTGAGCGCTCTGCAAAGATAAAATGCAACCCCAACTTATTGGTTCTGCGAAGGATAGAGGGTTTAGGGAATATAACATAGTGTATAAGGATTATCAAGGGATTATATTCCCTTATTTCATATTCCCTACTAATCACCAGCAAACCAAACTGGCCCCAAAACCCTAAAGGTGTCTACATTGCAGGCTTTGCAACTATGGCACGACCAGCTCGACGGGTCTCGTGGCTTCCAGTTTTTGAGCCATGCCTCTGTGAGCCTGCTCGCTAGGTACACGCGAATGCCAGACTTTACAAAAAAGACTCGCCCTAGCATTTATTGAAGACTAATGTTCTAAAAAGTCTATGACAGACTGATCATGGGCGCACTGCAAGATTCATCATCTGGATAACATCCCCATAACAACTTGTGCAATGAAGCCAGATGCGCGGAAACCTCGGCGAGGAGAATCTCTAGCTCGAGCTGGAGCCTGAGTTCCGCGTGCTGTCGGGTTCTGGCTTTTACGGCCTGCATTTTGCAGATCGGGAATTTTGGGTACATATTTTAAACTCCCCCAAGCCCTAAATAGTCGTTTCAATTTTCTTTTCCATTATCCCTTTATAACCCCTGTATTCCCCCTATATTGCTATATTACACCTATATTACCCCATTTTGGGGGCATGCTTTGTCATGCCTGCTGAGCTGCTGATGTAGCTGCCCGCGCGTTGCCTTGCCGCTGAGGTGCACCCTGAAGCGAAGGAGTTTGCATGAGTTTGCAAACTTCTCATTAAAGTGCTGCTTCAAGACCATGTCATGGCAGCATGCGGTCTTGAAAGAGTTGCAGCAGGTGCACGAAGGTTGCTTCAGAAATCTTGGTAAAGCAGGACCCGGCCTTGTTTCAGAGGCTGCGCCAATTCGCTTCGCGTGGCCGCTCAGACCGCCCGCATTCAGACGAAGATATCTCACCCCAGTTCGGTCCTTTGCTGCAAGAAACCTCTTCTCTTTCAAATCGAGGCTTTGCACCAAATCAGCGCAAGTCTTGGTCTAGGTAGCCATTTATTTGTTTCCCAAGCTAAATCCTTTGTAAATTCAGCTTGGGTGCAGCGATGCTGGAGATGTGGGGGGCTTCAGCACCGCCAGCAATGTCCAAGACCAGGGAGTCTGGATATACAGCTTGCACGGCATAGCCTGGTATGAGACAACTACCCTGCCACAGACCTGCAAGCTGTGTACGGTTTCCTCTGAATTTTGGATATCTCATGAAAAGGTTCCGCATGATAGAGACTAGATCATTCAGGGCGTTCCGAGGGGAACACCCGTATTCGATAATATGGTAACTTCCCAAAATGGGGGGACCCCAATATAGAACCCCCAAACGCTATAATCCTTATTGCTGGTAGCCTCAAAGAGGCACCCCTGATTTTGGATGATCCCCCAATTTTGCATGGACTGAAGACAGGTGCAGCTGTCCCGGCCTAGGGCGGCCTTGTCGGAAGTGAGCGCTCTCTCCGACTCGGACCACTCGCCAGCTTTCGCCGCCACGCACCGGGCGGCACCCAGATGGAATCTGAAGCCTTAGAAGACCAAAAGCTGCTCACAACGCAATGGCTTAGATTTTGAGGAAAGCTTCTCAGGACAGTCCGAGGTTGCGACGGACATAGCCCCGCCTGAGATTCAACTTGAGAATTGAACTATTAAACATCGCTTATTCACTTAACACGTGCACCATTGACCACGCACAGGCACATATGACCTGGTCGAACTGTTCTAACACGTTTACATGTGGCAGGCATGCTGGCAGTCCTCAAGCTAACTCTCTCTTACCTCCAAGTGACGCCTGCTGGGGCAGCTGAAATACCTTAGGTGTCTTGTTGTCATGCTCAGCCCCATGACATAACTGTTGACAGACTATCTGTCGGAATGAATGATTGCTACGCTCTGCTGGCTCGGTTTTGATAGCGCAGTCATATGGTCGGTGGAGGCATGCCCTCCTTCTCGTGGTGTCCAAGGGGTTGAACGCTTTCAGGTCCATGTTCAGCAAGCTCAACAGTTGCTCTGCTCCATTCTGCTCAGTTTCCTTGCCTTTGCGGGTGCTTCTGGCACGTGAGGGCAAGAGGCGTAGCACCATCAACTGCAACTGTCTGGGTCTGGACGAATTATTGGCAGAGACCTTTTCTCGAGAAGATGTAGCAGGGAAGCTTGCTGCTCAAGCTTGCCGCAGGTTTCGCAGGAGTTGACTGCAGCCTCGTAGCTGACCATGTCTGGCTCTGGCCTCCGTCCCCTCATGCTCACAAACACAGAGCGCAACGTCGCCTGCCAGCGAGATGCCTGGCAATGTGCCCGAATGGCCCCATTGTACGTGATTGTGTTGATGTCAAGCTGTACCTCTATCGCGTCTGTCACTAGCTGTGCAGCCTGCACCCAAGCGCCCTGAGCCGAACAGGCATACGTGGCAGAATTGTAAGAGATCACGTCGCGCTGCAGGCCAGCACATTGATCGCAAGTAAACAGATCCAGAGTCTGCTTCCAGTATTGCGCCCCTTCCAGCGCGCTCAGGGCAGTGTTCATCGTTATCTGGTCGGCTTGCAAACAAGACCTGCAGTGCATCACGTGTGCGGTACATTTCAGCTTTGCAGGGTCGAGGATTCAGCTTCTTCTACGCAAGGGGCAGGCTTTGGTCACAAGGAGTTGCATCAAAGAAGTACAAGGTAGCAACATCAACAACAGGATCATTTACCGTAGCACTGGAACTGCTGAACCCAAACGCGCTTGCAGCATGTCTGCAAGGTCAGCGTGCCTCCGCCTCAAATTCTCCAGGATGCGACTGGCTGGCTTCCACTGATGAGCTTCGGCACATGTGCTCAGTGCACTGTTGTAGGTAATGGTATTCGCAGCATCCAATCCGGACAGGTCTGACAAAGTTAGCACTGCCTCAGCCCACCGAGAGCCTTGACCAAAGGAGCTCAAGACAGCATTGTGTGTTATGGTATCTGGTTTCATTCCTTTGCGGTGGGTATGCTTAAGAAGTGTAGTGGCAAACTCCCAGCGACCAGACTTCTCACAGGTGCTGACAGCTGCATTGCACAGGACTAGGCTCTGGCTTGCGTCAAGCTCCATGTAGTAAAGGCCAACTTGCCACTGTTCAGAGACTTCGCAGGCGCATGCAACCGCGCTGTGGCTGAAGGCATCATGCTGAAGCGACAGCCTTCGGGTATGGGCCAGCCAACAAATACTGTTTTGCCATTGCTCAAGAGTAGTAAATGCGCTCATCAAGGAATTTGACGTGATTATGCTGGGCCGAAGGGATGTTGTTAGCAAAGCGGTGAAGGAGTGTGCAGCTCGTTGCCACTGCTTTCCCTTTTCCAATGCATTCAAGACAGCGTTGCCAGACACTGTATCGCATTCCATTGCCAAATTGTAAAGGTCCCTGAATAAAGATAGGGCACTTTGCCAGCGCTGTCTTGTTCCAACCGAGCTCATCGCAGTGCTGTAGGTGATGATGTCGGGTGGCACTTGACTGTTAGCTGCCGCGACTTGCAATGAAAGCGCTGCACGCCATGCCTTGCCAGAGGCGCTCGTGGCACCGTTGTAAGTCACGATGTGCTGCTTGAGAGTCATCGTCTGAGCCTCTTGGAGGAGGTGCCAGGCTTGATTCCATCTCGCTCCTCTTCCGCAAGCATTCACAACAGCTCCATGTGCCACCGTGTCTATCTGGAGCCTTGCGGTCTGCAAGTAGAAGAAGACATTCAAGGCTGCCACCCAAAGTTGCCGACGCCCATGTTTGCTGATGACTTGGCTGAAGAGCTCCAGTGTCCTAGCACCTTGCAAGTCGTCAGCATTCGCATTTTTCTGCATGTGGCGTATGGCTGTCCCAGCGAACAGCCCATCGCCTCACACACGCAGGGGCGTCAGCCAAGCAAGCGTTTCGACTCGCCTCCCATGTCTGTTTGGATCGCCAATTGGATCTGCACCTGATGTGTATTGGCCAGTCTAAGAGGTGCGTGTTGCGACACGCTAAAGTCCCTGTCGAAGCAGCCTCTTCCTGCCCCCTGAATGCCATGTGCACAAGCTGCACAGGTTTGCGCTGAGACCAAATGTAAGGCTGCGTACACATGGTCGCTTGGCGCTTTTTGTGGACATGAGATGTTTCAGATTGCGACCCCTGCGTGCCAACAGAAGTACTGTGGTTGACGGTAATCTTTTTCGCGCTGCCACGCACAGACTAGTCTAGAAAAGTACAGGTCGTGACATCCAAGGCTACGTCTGGGACTGACTTGCAGAGTTTGTGAAACCGTTGTGCTTAGCCGTTGCTAGTTTCAGCTGGCTTAACTCCGGCGCTGTAGGAAACTTCATCCTGCATGCCATCACTTAATCTGAAACCAGAGCCTTCGACTCCTGGTCTCAAAGAGGGTCTCAAAAATGACAGTGTACGAAGGTTTGCACTGGGGCTCCTTGGCCCGAAGCTGTGGCTTGAGCACCCTTTCTCCTTGTTAGCTCTCGGATGGATGATGCTAAGTTGATCACATCCGTTTGTGCTTCTGTTACTCGACGCCAATTGTCTTGCGTCACCTCCAAGGTGAAGCGGTTGCCCACGGCGACCCGAAGCTTGGCGCGAGACAGGCACGTTTGAAAGACGTAGCTGTTCTGAACCTGGACAGGTGAAGCAGCGCAAGCCAAGAGCGCGTGCTGGACTGGGAAAGTCAGACTACACACTTGCTAAGATTTTCTCGCGGCCGAGCAGCTGTGAGAATGAATGCGGCGAAATCACTGAGATCCACGGCGAACATCATGAACTTCTTGGGGGCTGCCCCCTTGACAGCTTGGATGAGGTCGACCAGCACCTCCAGCAACGTCCTGGTCGTCACAAACGGGTTCGACCTTGCCCGCTCCAAGCAAAGAGGAAGGAATTCAAAGACCAAAGCCTTTTTCCGGAGCCCATCTGCCAGGAAGTGCTTTGTGAGTGCCAGCTGGTCATTGCTGCCAAGCCCGTTCCAAGCCGAGCGCAGTTCCAGCAAGTCTCGAGGAGTTCTAGCACGGCACAGGCAGGCAAGCCGTATCAGAGCAAGATCTGCGGGCTTTGAGGGCGTGATGTCAATCTCAACACCTCTGTGGTGTATGTAGGTCCAGTACAAAGGTGTTGCCTCAAGGTCCAGCACCCGTTTCATCATCGAAAGCCCCAAGATGGTTGCCTTTGCATTGTCTTTGGTCATGAAACGCGATCCATGCCCGCCAGCCAGGCCACTCATGAAGCCGAGCAAGAAGAGAACATAGAACTTAAGAAGTCCATCACCTTCCCTCACTCGAATGAACTGTTGGAGCTGTTCAAGGTTGGCTGCCACGTTCTCGCCCTGAATCATCTGTGCGAAGTTGAAGAACTCCTGTAGTTCCAGCACGTCGTTGACAAGCTTGACCGTCTCTAGGGACATGCTGTCAATGGATGGCATGCTGTTGGGGAAGTTGTTCATGATAAAGCGCACCGCATGTTCGGGCCGCTGGTACTTGTGGGGCAGCTGCCGTGTGAGAGCCTTGTACTTGCCAATCCCCCGGACCGCAAGGAGGAAGATGACACCCAAGAGCTGTTCCTGGGTTGCTGTTAAGGAACTTAATTCAAGATACTATATTGGGGAAGCTATATTAATTACCATATATACCATTATGGTAACTTAATTTAAGTTCCTTAACAGCAACCCAGGTTCAGCATCCGGACTTGCCCAGAAGAGCAATGCCTGGAGATTTTGCCATTGGTCATCCTCCAGCCGGCGTGCACTGTCCTCTTGCGGCATGGTGTACCTAAGGTCATTCCGTCCCGTTTCGAAGCAATCGCTATTAGAACTCTGCCACACGCAAACTTCATAACTCCAATATAACCCCGATGAAACCCGTATAGAATCCCATATGACCCCGTATAGCCCCTATATAGCCCCCACAGAGCCCCTATATTATCCCATATAACCCGCATATAACCTCTTTGTTGTGGGGTTCGGGGGCAATTTCTCAACATTACGTGAGTTATAGTCTAAACTCCTGGTCCCCCCCTTGTAACCCCCATGTTTTCTTTAGGGGGTTCAGACTATGGTTCACGTAGGGGTCGCATATGCGGGCCAGGCGACGCCTCAAAATCGCCCCGTACCAAGGATACCAAAGAAATGATAGCCTGGGCTGTCTCCCAAACCCTCAGCAGCTCATCAACAGCTATAAGGCACTGTATAGAACCTATATAACCCCTGCATAATATAGTAGTTTCCATTTTCCTTTCCATTATCCCAATATAACCCCTATATAACCCTAATATGACCCTCTATATCCCTTTAAAGGGACCTAGGGTTTCCATTTTCTTTTCCATTATCCCAAAAAGCTCAGAAGCCGATTCTGCTCGTTCCTGCTCCGAGTTGGCCTGCACGTTTGCAAATCTGGCGTGCAACCCATCGTCTGGGTCAAGCTCCACGAAAGACCTGCGCGGCTGTCAGGAATATGACTCAACAATACATCCTGCGCAGTCCTGATATGGCACCCTGCATTTTGGAGGTACAAAGCGGAGACCGTCGTTTCAACAAGCACCCATCTACAAGGCCATGCTTCACCTAGAATCTAGTAGTCTAGTACTCTGGCTGGCAATGCATCCGAAGAAACTACATACGAGCTAGTCTAAACTCCTAGTATCTTCCGTCATAAGCCCCATAATACCTCCCTTATATAATCCCCTTTCAGGAGTTTGGACTACAGCTCAAGTTATTGGTGTTTCCTGCGCATCCTGTTAGTCCTAGCCTTGTATGTGCACATCCCCGAAGCCCAACGCATTCCGCAAAAAGAGCAGTTTCACTTAGGTGGACTCCCCTACAGCAGTGGTATACTAGGAATATAGAGGACCCTATTGTAGTCCTTATTACCCGTCATGGTGACTATTACTGGGTGGGGGCCCAGCTAAGGTTTCACGCTCTTTGTCACCGTCTTTCAACCACCGGCGCGCAAGAATTACAAAACAAGTCTTTTCAACAAGCCAGTGAGGAATTCGAGTCCTCAACGCTAAGCACTGCGTGAAATCTCAAGAATTGAAGCGACCAGGAAGAGATTTCGAAACCAAGGGGCGCCGTTTACAAGGAGCACTGCTTGCTGGAAAGCGCCGTCCAATCCCTACAGAAAAAGCAAACTGCTAGACAGAAGCGATTTGGTCACTACGAGGCCCGCCCAAGACCCATAACCTGTTGAAATCCCACTCTTCCAATATCAAAATTCACCCTGACATTGTGGAAATTTCAATCCGTATGCCACAATAGAAGCATGTAAGAAAGGGGCGGGGAATTTCAATATAGGTCCTAAACCCTAAATACACTCGTAGCTATCTACTTTTCTTTCCATTCCGCTGCGTACCCTAAAAGCTGTCCCCAGGCATCCCTTCAATGGGTTACGTAGGGGCTTTGACATCCACCCTAAGCCCAAACTCTACAACCGTGGGAAGGTGAGCATTCATGCGACAATGCCTCTGCAGCTGGGACAACACTCCGTGCATCGGCTCCTGAAGCAGGAAAGCAGGTCCTCCTTTTGAGGATTAAAAGACAGGTTTAGGAATTTAAGAGGGGTTCAAAGGGTGTGAAGATTTCAGCGACATGTTTCTGCCCAACAAATTGAACTTCAGTATGGAAGTCATTTCAAATAGACAACGGCACACAGGAATTTCACAAGGAAAACTCATTGTTGTTCTTCATGTAAAGCCCCGTTCTGGTCGGCAGTACATGCGTCAAGTGCCTCAGGCCCATAGAGGAAGGAAGGGGTCATGTAGGGAATGGGATGCAGGGTAATGTGTCCTATTTCCAAGCACCCTGGCATGTAAGGTGGCCGCATCGTCAAATTAAATGAGGATTTCTCCCTGTTCCTCACCATTCTGAGTCTCGACACAATCTCTGTTCAGACTATAAATTCAATTGAAACGTCACTTCTTCTAGTAGCCGACGGTAACAAATTGAATTCAAGACGCCAACCATGTCTGCTACGTTCGTTCTCCTACACATGACCTAAACAACACTCACCCTCAACCAGGATTCCGCCAGTTCCTGATAGGCCATCAAGAGATGCTTCTGCATGAAAACTTTTCAGAAGCAATTATTCGCAGGGTCTTCCTTCTTCTACATCAAATCCAAATGGCATTTCCTCAAACAAACGCAGGATTCCAGAACGCGAAACAGACACGACTACATAACCTTAGAAAAATATTGATTCAGGACTTCACCAAACTCATCGGGTGTCCACAGTTATATTGCAGCGAGATTCAATTGATCAGACTCAAGGATATGCCAGCCGTCAAATTGCAGGTCCCAGTTTTTGGATTCTTCAGTGCTTTTTATTTCATCTAAACTTGACAAGAGTGAGCTAGTTTCATCCGGAGCGTACACGAAGGCACGCTAGCCAACTACAATTTGTGCTGTCAATGGCTGGGCCGTCCTTAAATCTGTGTTTGAAGGTTCATCAACAACTTCTTAGCCTGAGTCAAGATCCCACCGAATCCTGAATGGCACTTACTTCTGCATAAGGCACGAGTCGGATTCACTTAGTCTCCATCATGGAGAGAAACTCTAGAATCTAGAATTTCTGGGACATGGATAGCTCCCAAGCGCTTCCGGGAAAGTGATTCAAGTTGCTTAGAGGAATCACCTAATAGCGCAAGAAGCCACAACACCCAGTCTAGTGGAGGGCCCTGCTTTTGCAAGTGTCCACGAGCAACTCGAAACTAAACCCTTTAAAGGGGATATAGGGGTTATATAGGGGTTAGGGTTTAGGGTTTCCCAAAATTGGGGGGGTACCATTTTGGAGGTACCGGGTATTTTTGGGGTCCATATTGGAGTCCCACCATTTAAGGAAAC